TTCAAATAAAAATTTCATTTCGCTTAGTCCTGCATGATTTAGCCGAGAAGGTTTTAGAAAATCATTGTCTATACATTGCAATAGTGTATCTTTTTCCTTATATTTATAAAGAAAGCTATCAAAATATATAGTAATTGTTTTAGTACGTTTTGATGGGAAATTTTCCGTGAGAATATTGCAGCTACCTTCATTGCATTAGTTTAGTTAAAAGGTATGCTCTAATGCACTAATAATATTACGAATAAGGGGCAATTTTAGCCAAATATTGTAATTGCTGATATATGCTACTGTCTGAATTTACTACATGATTTATTTTACGTGACAGGGACGCAAATCAAATTAATAATATTGAAATAAAACACAAGAAAGTTTTAACAATAAAAGTATAATAAAACAAATCGACAATTGTTTCGACCTACTCAGTCATTTTCAAGAGTATTTTAAATATTTCTGTACTTATCGAGATAGGTGGAAGCAGTTGTTTTATTATATTTCTATTGTTGAAACATTCTTGTGTTTTATTTTAATGTTAAACATGTTTCTTCTCAATTACACTTAAGATAACCTTAACAAATTAAGAACACTCCATGATTCTTTGTTAGGTACCTTTACAATACCTAAAGTTGATGGAATTATCATATCACACATTTTTTTGGATTTATTGTACTAAGTAGCCAAATCTCGAGCCTTGAATGTTTCTAAAAATTGTATCAACTACTAGAGTATGTGTAATAACCAAAGTCATTAATGGCATTATGTTCTTTCATTCAATGACCAATATTTGTACTTAATTAGTACAAGTGACGTTTAAGATCGCCTTCTAATTGCATAATGACAATTAAAAACAGCATTCACTGAAGCTACTAAAGTAGTACGTAGTTTACCTATCTATTGCCGGAAGTCAAATCGCGTTTCCTGTTTAGATTGCATACATAGAAACATGCATCGCAGTTTTTCATTGGTGTTTAACTGGCCGTAGTCAAAATGCACAGATTAAGTCCTTCA